CAAAAACTTAAGGTTGCATTTCATTGAGGTTTTACCATATTCTGTTCCAGGTGCATTTCGGGCATTTCACAATGTGTTTTTTTCATTTTTGCCCACGCTACAGAGTAGAAAACTTGATTTGGGGGGGGGGGGGGGGGGTTCTTCTTTGTGTTTTTCCAGAAAACATCATCTTGGCCCTCAAAAATCCATATTTGTCCGACAAATCTTTGCTGCCAGGTTTTGCAGATTTTTAGTACAAATGTACTTGGTACTATTCATCGACTTTTCTTGTGGGTGTATTTTAAGATTAAATTTTCAATTTAGGCAATTTAAAAACCTCCCGAAGCCCTATTTCCTTTCTTTGGGCAGTAGCTCGGAGAAATTTTTACCCCCTTGACCAGATTTTCTTGGGGGCATTCTGGGCATTTTACAATGCATTTTTTTTTTTGTTTCTGTCCACAATTCAGGGTAGGAAACATGATTTTAGGGGGGTTTTCTTCTTTGAGTTTTTCCAGAAAAGTCCGTTTAGATGCCCGTTTTTACTCTCAGTTGCAGCAGTAGTAGGCTGTCCTCGTCGGGCCGCCACGACATCATTTTTGTTTTTGACCTTTCTCCTTCGTCCGGAATCCGAATAATGAAATTCTTGAGTCCATCATGACTAGTTTTTCATTATCTTCCCAGTGGTGTGCTCGATAGCACTTGAATCCACTTTTTTGAAAAATGACCATTTTGCCCTTAGGTTCTTTTTTGTCCGTTTTTGAAACGACACTTCCGCATTTGTTTTCCTTTGGGGTCCATGACCTCATTGAGGGTCACATTGGTGTCTTAGAGACGCATTGTATCTATAGAAACCGTTGTTTCACCTTTCACTTTTGCATTTCGAATCCGTTATTGGGTCATCTTTTAGTCATCATTGACGCACCGGGTTTACAAAACTTGGGCCGTCACATGGATAGTATACACCGGTATGGGACGGTGGTATACTAGGGACGGTTTGGTTTCAAAATACCAAAACCTACCTACTTTGGATTAAGAATTGGATTAACTAGAAGTTAAGTCCTATTGATTTTAGTGTCATGGCAACGACTAGTTGAGCGGCACTACTAGGATACAAGATGGATTTTAAATATATTGTTATGGTACCTCGATATGAGCTTGAGTCTCAGGATCGACGGTTAGGGAGCGTATATGCATTGGGATGCATAGTTGGATACGATGGTTAGAGGTGTACCCTGTTTAGGTTTAGGTACACATGCCCACCTCGTGTGCGTTTTAGCATGTTACCTCTACTCAGGTTGAGACCGGCCTGTAGTCCAGTGAGAGTCCTTTAGTGTGACTATATATATATATATTTACATATTATTAGCTATTGTGGAATTGTTTAGGATGTACATGCGTATCGGACCTCTGTTTGGATTGTAGAAGTATAGAACTTGCACATGGGCCTGACCCACTTCTATTTTTCAGGTACACGACAGTTCCAGACTTAGACGTGTTCGTGCTGAGCAGAGGTTTCTACTCACTCTACCGACGAGATAGATTCCCGGGTTGTTAAACTTATGGAATTTGGACTATCGGATTCTACCAATTATATTATTGGGATTTAAGTATTTATTTTTAAACGATTTATATTTAGTTTCTTTCAGCTTAAATTTTATTTCTTAATTCAATTTGTATTCTGTGTTCATTTAAAGTATTAATTGTTTGATATCCCTCGGGTTTGGGCCTGGGCCTGATCAACCTGTGTCTCGGATCCGAGGGGTATCACAACTATTAAGATCAGTTTTAAGGAAGAACAAAAGGGTAGGAAGAGGCCAGAGACGAAGCAGATGATCAGAAACAGAGCAAAAGGGGATCAGTGCTCTCAAAGAGGGAGAAAGCCGGCTCCAGGAGGTTGGGAGCCGGCTCCCCTCTTCACAGAGCCGGCTCCAAGGGCTAGGGAGCCGGCTCCATAGTGCATTGAGCCTGCTCTGTGGTTTTGAGAGCATGCTCCCTTGTGTTGATGCGTTCCGGAACTGTTTTGGGCATTATTTTGGACGTGTTTGGTATTTTGGATTGAAGGACTGGACTGAAGATTTTAAAAGTAATTTCATGGGATTTTAAACTCTCTAATTGCATAATTTGATCCGTAGTGCAAATAGAATGAACAATATAAAAATAAGCAACTTTGCACGCTGTTAACAGATAGGAGGGATAAAATTGTTTAATCTTGTGTTAACAATTTAACGGACTGTATCATGGACTCTAAACATGAAATTATGATGTATTAGAACCCACAATGCATAATTTATCTTTATATGCTAATGGTGTTCACAGTGTTGAAGTTTTAAGCAATGTCGCACACTGTTGATGGATATAAAGTATTTAGTTGCTTAAACTTATTTTAGCAACTTCGATGACTGTAGTATGATTTCTAAATTTGTTTTGGATGCATAATAAGGTCTTATACATATTAGATTTTGTTATGTTTCTCTTGGATTTTTATTAAAGAATCATTAAAATATATTATATCAATTACATGGAATTAGGTGTTGGATTTTAATTGCTGAATTATTGTATTATATTCTGCCAATTACATGGAAGTTAACCTGGATTTTAATTGAGGAATTATTAACTTATATTCTGTCAATTATCTGGATTTATGTGTTGGATTATAATTACTAAATTATTACATTAAATTCTGTCAATTATCTGGATGTTGTGGATTGTATATACCGGTATGAGATGATGGCATACTAGGGATGGTTTAGCTCAACACGCTAAGACCTACCCTATTGGAATAAGGAAATGGATTGTAAAAATTGAATCCTATTTATATTTAGGTCAAATCAACTGAGTAAGTTGAGTGACTATATGGATTAATTAGTGTTTGGAGTTATGTCAGATCAACTAAATAAGTTGAGTGACTAACTAGATTATAAATCTTATGTCAGATCATTATATAACTAAATGACATACTCTGGTTTTGGACGGACTTTAAATATATGGTTATGGTACCACGAGATGAGCTTGAGTCTCAGGCTCGTTGGTTAGGGTGCATATATGCAGTGGATGTGTAGCTGGCTATGATAGGTTGAGGTATACCCTGTTAGGTCTAGGTATTCATGCCCACATTTGGATGCGTTTTTGCATGTTACCTTCTATTCAGGTTGAGACCCTCTTTGTAATTCAGTGAATGTCCCTTAGTGTGGATATGTATATATTTATGGACTAGATAGATATTGTGAGATATCTAGGATGTATCTGCGTATCGGGGCACTGTATGGATTGCAGTTAGATTAAAACTTGTTCGTGGGCTTGACCACTCTTATATTTTTCGGTTATCGGACGGTTCCAGTCTTAGGGCTTGGTCGGGCTGATCAGAGACGGTCATTCACTTTACTGACGACGTATAATTTCATTCCATGTTTTGATTTGGATTTTACCTTTAGTTGTTTACTTATCATTTGAGATTTTATTTAGGGGTCCACTAGATGGATTCTTAAGTTGTACTCTTGGAGGTTTTGGAGAGTTGAATTATTTTAATCTTTAATTTTGGAGGATTTTATATTTAATAATTCTTTCAACTTTATTATTCATTTTCTTAAATCTTTTTGGTATTCTATGTTCGTTTATATATTAATTGTTTGATATTCCCTCGGGTTTGGGCTTGTGCCTGATCAACCCATGTCTCGGATTCGAGGGGTATCATAGTTAATAAGCTTAGACTCATTCTATATCATGCCATTGTCAGGATATGAGTGACATGCTATTGTTAAGATATGGTTATACTATTTTATATGTTCTTGAACCATCGTTAGGATATGATTACGGTAGTTTGTATTTGGTGCGCCATTGTTGTGGATATGACTAGATATATATCATTATTATGTGTACCATGATATGAGCATGATATGAGTTTCAGGTCTCGGGATCAGTGATTAGGGCTAAGGCGTATATTGCCGGTTGAGATGGATAGCTGAATATAGGAAATGTGTGTGCTCCGGTAGAAGGAGGACTGGTGACCTCCTTGTGTGCGTTTTTCATGAGATACTCACTATCCGGTTGAGTCTGCCCTATAGTCCAGTGAGAGTCTTTAGTGTGTATGTATATATGTATTTATTGACTATGTAGATATTATATGAGTTGGCTAGGGTTGTATCGTTTATTGGGTCTCCGTTTGGATGGCAGTAGAAAAAACTTGTTTGTGGGTTTTGACCCACCTTTATTGTTATATTTTTCAGGTCCTTGTCAGTACCAGGCGTAGAGGTTATTCGTGCAGTTTAGAGACCAATCATCATCATTCTTCCAGTGTCGTTGACATAGAAATTCATCTTTGCTCAATTGATTTAGTTCATGTATTTAATGTTCAGTAAACTTAGGTGTTGTTTTCAGTATGAGATTTTTAGGGTTCCATGATATTCGGATTCCCAAGTTGTATGTTGAAGATTCATTATTTATGATTCGGAATTTTGTATTAGAGATTTTTATATTTATTAATTTAGTTTTCTTTCAACATTTGCCATATTATTTTGGTATCTCCAAGTGTGGGTCTGACCAACCTACACCTAGAAATTGAGGTTACCAAACATGTTTTTATATTTTTGCTTATGAAACATTGACGTTACCGAACATGTTTTCATATTTTCAAATTCGAAGCATTTATGTTAAAAAACTTTTGATTTTTACAAACATTACTAAACATGTATTCATATTTTTACTAAAAAAATCTTATAATAAATAATTTTTTACTAAACAAGCTTCAAAACAATACTCAAAATACTCAAAAAGTAGAATTTTGTTGGAAACAAAAGACATAAATAGTGGAAACAAAAGACACAAATAGTGGAAATGGGAGCTAGAGCAAGAAAGCACGCCAATGATCGTGTGATTTAGCCAATTAATTTGTAGACAGGTAATTTTTTATTTATTATGGAGTATTTTTTTCTCCCCAAGATTGGATCGGTGATTAGATTCATTTTGCCATAATAATAAAAAAAATAGAACAAAAATTGATTTTTTAAGTAATCCTCGGCCTTCCCAAGCACTTACTCAGTCTACTCATCCTATACAAATAGGCCAGCCTGGACGGCCATTTCACAGTTTTGGTTCTTATGTTGGGCTGAAGAAGAAGAAGAAAAAAAGAAAATTGCAGTAGTAGTATATAGTTGGATATACTACAGTTGTGAAATTGAATTGAATTGAATCAGGTGAGGTGAGGTGAGGTGATTATGGGGTTATTCCATCTTATCCGTAGCGCAGTCAACAATGGTGCAAGAAACAACGGTTGGAGTTGGGGGAGGGGATCATTGCGGCGCGGTGTCAGTGTTTTGGGATCCAACACTACTAGTATTATTGATAAGACGACACAGCGGTCTTCAACATCATCGTCGTCGTCGTCGTCTTCGTCCGTCGTCTCATCATCGGCGTATCACCTGTCCGGCGGCCCTTCTTACATGCGCGGATTTGTGTTTTGGGAACCCAATAAGCCTCTCACCATGGAAGATTTCCACTTTCCTCGCCCCAAAGCTGGTGAAGTTCTCATCAAAACCAAGGGTGGGTATTCAATCTCAATCTCAATCTCAACTTTCTACTTCATCAACAAAACCCACCATTCCTGTTTTATATTTTTGTATGCTATCGTTGTAATGACCCAATTTCTTTGAGTTCTGCTGCAATAAATTTCATTTTTCTCTTCATTACCCAAAAAAAAAAAATTCATTTTTACAGAAATTAGGAGGATTTGCCTTATCCGCATATAAATTTAAAAACCTATTATTGTGATTCGAGGAGGCTATCTCTATGTCTCTATTTATGTATAAAGATTACAAAAGGAGTTTCCAAAAAAAAAAAAAAAATCAAAGGTTAAATGATGTAAATTAAGAAATTTCCCCTTATTTATTTATTATTTTTTACTATCTTAGACTTGTGCAGAAAATCTTCTCAACTATATATTTTTTACAATGAAATTCACACATTTCTAATGCTGCAGCCTGTGGGGTCTGCCACTCTGACCTTCACGTATTGAAAGGTGAACTTCCATTTGCTAGCCCTTGTGTTGTGGGGCACGAGATAACGGGTGAGGTGGTCGAACATGGTCCCCTCACAGACACCAGAATCATTGAAAGGTTTAAAAGCTTAACTAAAGAAGAGATATACATAAATCGCATTTAACTCCTAGTGCATGGGGTGTCTTCAAAACAGATGATGAAATGAGTTTTCTCTTGATTTTTCAGATTACCTGTTGGCTCTCGTGTTGTCGGAGCTTTCATAATGCCTTGCGGTAGCTGTTTCTTCTGCAATCAGGTAAAATCTGCATCACTGTTGCTTAAGCTGCTTTCTTCTCCCTTTTGACATCAAGATTGCTTCTGTGAATGTAATATTTGTAGTCATTGCATAGCATCAATCTGACATCAATAATTTTTGAGTTATACAGGGTTATGATGATTTATGTGAAGCTTTCTTTGCTTATAACCGAGCGAAAGGAACTCTCTATGACGGTGAAACACGGTTGTTCCTCCGCAGCAATGGTAACTGTGCTTTTACTGATAACAATTTATTGTGTTAATCTCAAATTGAATTTATGCTACTTATATAGCATTGTTATTTGTTAATGTGATCCTAGTTGAGCATCTTTAATTTATATTTGTGCTACCTGTATGTTGGATAAATATTAGTTTGAGGCATGTTAATCGGTTGATATAAATTATTTTAGTAATCATTTGGGCGCGTTGCACCTTCTCGTTAGCATGTGAAACTTGGAGCTAGTGGCTATAAAATTGTTTTATTGTAATCTTGTAATTACCAATGTCATCTCCGCTCGGTTTCTCAATATCAAATAGAAATGTCCCCTTTCCTTGTTTCAAAGTCTTTTTGATTGTGATAAGCTGTTGAAAATACCGTTGGGGTTAATATTGGATCAGATTTGTCATGCTTACACCCCTGTCCTCCACCTTGAAGGTTACTCCTCTTGTCGACACTTCCACCCCCAATTGGTGGGGAGGCAAGGAAGCCTCCCCACTTCTAAGAAGGACTGACTCTAACCTATTTTTGCTTTTCTATTGCCTCGTATTATATCTCAATGGACCTTATCATAGGCATTCTCCAAATATATAAAACCCATATACTAATCAATATCATTCTCTCTAAATCTTTTTTTTGATAAGTAAAAGTGTATTAAAAAGCGTTCAAAAGGGGAACGCATCCCGAAAGCTATACAAAGGCCGAAGCCTAAGAGATCATTCTCTCTAAATCTTCTGCTGAGTAATAGTGTAATTAATGATAAGAGTTGTGCATAAGCATGCGAGCAAGTCTGCACTTTCCGTTTCTTTGTTGTTTTCTTAATGGAGTCTCAACTTTCATCCTTGTTGAATTTTTAAGTGATTCTTCTATCTATTTATCTGAGTTAAACGACTACCAATTGCTCTGTCAATGAATGCATACTTGAATGACTAAATATGCCTGATCTATGTAGACAAACCGATATACATGTACAGCATGGGAGGCCTTGCTGAATTTTGTGTTGTGCCAGCACATGCGTTATCTGTTCTACCCAACTCATTGCCCTACACAGAGTCTGCTATTTTAGGTTGTGCAGTTTTTACTGCCTATGGTGCTATGGCTCATGCAGCCCAGGTGCGTCCTGGGGATGCTATTGCTGTGATTGGCATTGGGGGCGTCGGCTCAAGGTAAAAGGATAAAACTTATGATTATTTTACCTTTTTTGGATTAATTAAAATTTATGATCTTCATATGCGTGCTGCTATTTCATCTTTTTACTCAACCTGCCACTTCATTATTTAGTGATTAGTAGATCGATTGATGCTTACATGCTTATAAAGTTGGATTGGCTTTCTAGAGGAAACACGGATAAGGACATGGGTACGACATGATACGGACACGGCAATATGACAAATCGCAAAGAAATAGAACATGGATATGGTAGGAATACATAAAAAAAAAATATATTAATAAATATTATTTTTTCCCCCTCATTTTATCCACATTATCATGAATGGAATCACTAATTTGGAGGTTAGAGTTGGGTGTTTGTGTTGTGAGTTGTGTCGTGCGGAATTGGTTAGTTAATTTAGTGATATTTGATGTTTCTAAAGTCCTAGAGAGGGTGTAAATAGGTCCTCTTGCTTATTTTTTGTGATTGATTAAATTATCAAGTTAAATCCTCACTAATTACAATCAAACAATAAAACAAAAAGTTGCACACCAGATTTTTTATGTGAAAAACCTTCGCGTGAAAAAACCACACGACTGTAATCCAGATTAAAGCAATCCACTATATTGAAACAAAGTTATACTGACTAGTTACCTAGACTGATACCCAAACCACTTTGCCAATAACTAGTTTACTGTCTCAGACTTACTCCTGGTAACCCAAGTCCAGTAGCTTTCGACTTCAAAGTCACTCCTACGATCTTCCGAACAGGTTGCTGACGTAGAATAGGATTGCTTCGTGAACAATCTACTCTATTCGCAATGATTTTTAACTCTTCTAAAGAACACCATTATTACAAGAGTTTAAAGAGGAAATCCAGTTGATGTAAATTAATATCAATTAAGATCTATGCTCTCAACACAATCACAACCATTCAAGGGGGTTCTATCAAAGTTCATACTTGTGAGAAAAGAAAGCTAACAGAAACATTAAAAACTAGGGTTTTGAATCTTTGGGTTATCGCTTAAATCTCTGTAACTTTCCACACAAAAATATCCTAGAAAAATTACATTTATAATTCTAAAAGTCATTTGCCAAATTAGAGTTCAAAACGAATTAAAATCCTTGTGAAACTCCACTTTCAATGTTGCATTGAATCGGTTTCAATAGTATTTTGGACTTGTTGAAAGAGAGAGAGAAAGAGAATATATGAAAACGTATATTTTATTGAGTGAGTAATAGAATAATATAATGGTGTTTATATAGGAGAAGTTACGGGAGTAGGTGCGTGGAGAACAAGTAAACCCTATACATGGTAATTCTATATATGGTAATGAGGGTAGGTGACAACTCATACAATACTAATTGTACACGTGTGACAACTCATACAATACTTGTACAACGTAACAACTTATACAATACTGTACAACACTCCCCCTTAAGCTGGAGAGTAAATGTCAATAACTCCCAGCTTGCTACATATGGAATCAATAGAGTTCTTGGGAAGTGCCTTAGTGAAGATGTCTGCCAGCTGTCTACCAGAAGGAACAAAAGGTGTAACAATCTCATTCAAGTTAACTTTAGATTGAATAAAATGACAATTTACTTCAATGTGTTTAGTCCTCTCATGGTAGACTAGATTGTTAGCAATATGAATAGCTGCCTTATTGTCAAAATGGAGAGGAATTGGGTACTGAACTGAAATCCCAAGTTCCTGTAAAAGAGTTTTCAACCAAGTAAGTTCGTAAGCAGTGTGTGCCATGGCACGGTACTCTGCTTAAACATTGGAACGAGCCACAACTGACTGTTTCTTACTCCTCTAAGTTACTTGATTTCCTCCTATGAAGGTGCAGTAACCCGTGGTGGACCGTCGATTGAAGAAGGAGAACCGGCCCAATTTGCATCTGTGTATCCCTCAATCCGAAGATGTCCAGAAGATCGATAAAGCAGACCACGTCTCGAAGTACCCTTGAGATACTTCAAGATGTGTACAATTGCTTCCATGTGAGGTACCTGAGGACTGGTCATGAACTGACTCACAACATTGACTGCATAAGAGATGTTTGGACGAGTGATTGTGAGGTAAATAAGTTTACCTACAAGTCTCCGATACATCTTTGGATCATCGAGTGGGTCACCATCATCCACCTTAAGTTTTACATCAGTCTCCATGGGTGTAGCTACAGGTTTCGAACCAAGATATCCAGTATCCTGTAAGCTATGTTACATGGACTCGGGTACGGTTGTCGGACACGGGTATGTATTTCGGACGTGTCAAATCTCCAAATAGAAGGACACACGGACACGGCTAAATATTCATTTTATTAATTATTTTATTTTATTTTCTAGAGTAAAGTAATATTTTTATCTAATATAATGTTCAATATAGGCATTTAACTCATTTTAAAGTAATAATATAAAGTAATTGAATGATTGTATATGTTTTTTAAGTACATGTCCAACTAAAAGTGTCGGACACATATCCCATACCCATGTCCGAGAGATATGTGTCTGACACGGGTACTTCACTACTTTTGAAGAGTCCATGTAACAGAGCCTCTAAGAGATAAAAAATATACTTCCGCTGAGAAAGACTAATGCCTTGCTTCGACGGAGCCACCCCAAATCCTTAACAAGGAAGCTAGAACTCAAGTGATGGATTAGAACTTGTATCCCATCTTTGTCATTGCCGGTGATAACGATATCATCTACATACACCACAAGAATCACAATACCATGTTTCATTTTCTTAAAAAAGAGAGTGGTTTGGCTTCGGGTCATACCATGAGCTACCACTGCTATACTGAACTTTTCAAACCATGCATGAGGGGACTGTTTGAGTCCATAGATAAACTTCTTGAGATGACACACACCCCCCCCCTTATGCTCAAACCCAAGTGGTTGAATCATATAGATTGTCTCAGTAAGGTCACCGTGCAGAAAGACATTTTTAACTTTATGTTGATGAAGTGGCCAGTCTAGATTAGCTGCAATAGAGATTATCACACGAACATAATTCAGTTTGGCCACAGGAGAGAACGTCTCAGTATAATCAAGGCCATAAGTCTGAGTGTAGCCTTTAGCAACAAGTCGAGCTTTGAGACGGTCAATAGTACCATCAGGCTTCTGTTTAACAGTAAAAACCCAACCACAATAAACAAGCTGAGTATCAGCAGGCTTAGGAACAAGGTCCCAAGTATGATTCAATTTTAAAGCGTTTATTTCTTCTTCCATAGCTTTCCTCTACCCTGGATGAGCAAGTGCCTCCCTGTAGGACTTAGGAAGAGCAATAGAGGATAATGACCAAGAAAAAGCGTGGAAGGAGGAGGACAATTTATTATACGATACAAAATTAGAGATTGGGTGATTGGTACAAGACCGTTTACCTTTCCGAACAGTAATAGGTTGATCAAGATCAGAGTCTGGAGGGATGGAAGAATCTCCGGGCGTTGAAGCAATTGGTGGAAGTGGCAAGGCTGGGTTTACTACTTCAGTCGTTCGAACATGATTAACTACTCTTTTCCGGCGACGAGCATAGACACGAAGAGTTGGTGGGATGTCAGAATCAAAATCTGGAGTTGGAAGAATAGACTCTTGAAGAATAGAGTCCTCCACTGCCTTCTTGGGAATAATAAGGAACATCCTCAAAAAAAGTTACATCTGCACAAACAAATTGTTTACGAAAAGTTAGACTGTAACATTTATATCCCTTTTAAGTGCGAGAATAAGCTAAGAAAATACATTTGTGAGCACAAGGATCAAGTTTGTCTCGTCCCGGGCTTAGATTATGAACAAAACAGACACACCCAAACACCTTTGGAAGAATGGACAAAAGGTTTTTGTCAAGAAACATCATTTGGAAGGGTGATTTTCCTTGAGGGACCCTAGAAGGCATGCGGTTTAAAAGATAAGAAACGACAAAAACTGCATCTGACCAAAAATGTTTTGGAACATGCATTTGAATTATTAAGGCACGAGCGATACCTAGGAGTTGGCCACTCTTCCGTTCAGCTACTCCATTTTGTTTAGGGGTATCAACACAAGATGTTTGATGGATAATGCCCCCCGACTTAAGAAACTTTTAAAATACATCAAGTTTATATTCAAGAGCATTGTCAGTTCTAAGAACAAATAATTTTGCATCAAACTGATTTTGAATTTCAGCATAAAAGGATTGAAAAACAAAGAAACTTAAGATTTATCTGTAAGAATATAAACCCCAAGTTAAACATGAATAATCAATAAATGACACAAATAACGAGTACCAAATAAACTAGTAGTACGAGCTGGTCTCCAAACATCCGAATGTACTAACTCAAAAGATTTTAAACTTTTATTATCAAAACGAGACTTAAAAGTAGCCCGACGATGTTTACTAAGTTCGCAAGTAGTACAATTAAACTTAGAAAAATTAACTAAAGAAGGGACCAAGGCTCGAAGACTAGTTGAAGAGGGATGTCCAAGGCGACAATGCCACTGGTAAGTTGAAGAGGAGGTGGAATGTAGAGTTGTCGGAGCAGTAGTTGGCTGGAAGTAGTAAGGACCACCGATCGTCGTCTTCGTCTTGAGATCCTGAAAGACACAACGGGACGGAGAAAAAGTAACTGAGCAATTTAAATCTGATATGATTTTGCAAACTGACAATAAATTGAATGAAAATTGAGGGATATATAAAACTGATGAAAAAGTGAGACCCGAAGTGCGGAAGGTACCAATTCCATCAACAGGTGATTTGGCACCATTGTCTATTATTGAGGCCGAGTAAATTGCAGCAACAGAGGCAGTGACGGAAGCTATATGGTTGAGAGGCTTGGTTGGTGATTTGGGCTTGCAGTAGGATGATTTGACTGTGTTTTCCGACGGCCAGATTGCCATACATCTGATTAAAAATCAGAAGTTCCATGAGAGGACCTTGATGTCAGGTATCACTTCATCAAAGATGTGGTTGCACATGGTGCTATTGCAGTGAGGAAGATTGGGACACCAGAGAATCCGATGATATGATGACTAAGGTCATTCCTACTCTCAAGTTCAGACACTGTCTGGACTTGATCGGTACTTGTAGTTGCTGAGGCCCTTTAGGGGCATGTGGAGGCTGTGAAAGGAGTAGCTAAAGATTGCGAAGCTTGGCGTAATTCAAGCCAAGGTGGAGATTTGTGATGTTGTGGCCCGAATTTAGTGCCGGGTCGCGTTGTGACCAGATGACCCTAATTAGTCTCTTGTAGTCTAATATATAAGGGCACTTAGGGTTAGGAGTAGTGTAAGAGAGAGACTTTGAAATTCGTACAGAAACAGAGTGAGGGGCTGAAACTTGTAATCTCCGATTTTATACACAGTGAAAACTTTCGCTGGATCCCAACCGTGGACATAGGCTATTGCCGAACCACGTATAAATCTTTATGATCTTTGTTTGGTGTGTTTACTTTTCTGTCGTGATTCTTGGTTTTATCTTGGGTTTGTTGCATTTGTCATAACTGTGCAAAAGGCTTGAATGACATAAATCATTCATTCACAGTTCTAGTATTTATAGATAAAAAGAAGACATGTTAATATTACAAGAAAGGAAATTAAATTAAATCACAACAGATTCTATGGCTAGACATATGCATAAATAAAGTCAAACTCCATGATCTGTGGCTGATGTATTCCAAAACATGGTGTTCTTTTCAATTAAAAACTATTTGCAATAGCACTAATCCTCATAGGATATGGCTACGTAAAGGGTGTTGAACCACGGAGATTGCGAAGTTTATGGTCGTCAAATTTGCAAGGTTTACTTCCGGTTCAATTCGGGATTGAATGGTTGGTTCTTGTTTGTCAAATTAAAACACTTGAAATTGATTACTAAACCGGAAATTGAAATTAAACGATTAAGTTTGCAAATGGAGAGATGGCTAGGGAAGTGATTTCACCATACCCGTTGTAACTATATCAGATTATGTTTGTCATAGGGAAAACAATATTAAGCATAGAAATGAATCGTGTGGCTTATACTCACAACGAATTCCTCAAGAGGATAAATGCACATACAATTCAAGAACTAAGCATTGTTCATCTTTGGTTGGTACAAATCGTCTACCTATCTAAATTAATCTAATGTGTAGCACGATTTGTCTTTCCTAGGTATGATATATCAAAGTTCTTTCCTTGTATGCCATGTAAACATGTGTATAACTTGTCATTTCCATTGTCACTTTGAAGATGATCACGGTCCAAGCACAATAAAAGCTTTTTAAGACAAGAAAAGGGTTTTATCATGAAAGAGCATAAACATTAAACTCCATTAAAAGATATATATTGCTTGCAATATCAAAGTTACACAATAAAGCTATGCATTAACATCATTTTTCCCCAAAATAAAACAAATCAAAACTTATTTACTTGGAGATGGCTGCATCAACTTCCTAGGAGGAGATTTAGTTGTCAATTTGCATGGTTGAAGCCTTCATTGAAGCTGCAAACTTCATCTTCCCAAGCTCCATTTCTGCACTTCTCTTCTTCCCCTAATATTTTTCTCTCTCGACTTTTTCAAGACAAGAAGAAGCCCCCCTAGAATTGTCCTGTTAGAAAATATATATCTCCCCCAATTGTAGCTTTCACATGTTAGAAATATAGGCTACCAAATTCTTGTCCCTTCATCTGTAGACAAGAAGACCAAGATCCCCAAAACATGGGTCAAACGTGACTTTTTAAAGTCAACAATACAGGCTGGAAAAAGTAGCTGCGAGCACTCGGAGGCAGGGGTCCGAGCGCTCGGCTAAGGAAAGTTTCCTCTGGAGTGCATTTGCGAGTGCTCCCAAGGACTCTCGGGCGCTTGGGGCTTGTCATGCGAGTGCTCGGATGGCAACCTCTGAGCGCTCGAGGGTTGTCAGGGGGCTTGTCATGCGCGCGCGTGAGAGAGCTGGGGTGCATTGTGAGCGCTCGGATGGTAGGCCCGAGCACTTGAAGGCTTGTGTTGGCCTTGGCCTTCCTTTTGCCTTGAATCCTTCTCAGCCTAATCCTCAGTCTCCTTCTGAGTCTTGTTCTTCTCAATACTATGCTCGGGGCCTAGAATGCCCTTGATTCATTCTCCGGACCTTGCGTTCCCGAGTTCATCGTTAGAGCTCCACATTCCATTGAATTGGCCATCTTTTATTAGAAACACCTGAAAACATGAAAGACAAGAAAATAGCATAAAATCTATACAACGGACAAAATAAGAACTTAAAACATGATTAAAGGGGCTTGAATGTGCAACATTCAGTACTTATCAGTGGTTATCATATCTCTGCTAATATGTTAAGTCATCCATAATTCGTGGTTGTTACATCTTGGCTAACACTTATGATCTTCTGGAAACATCACGAAAGGTAATCTTGAAGGTGGTTTCTGATATTGTCTACCTCCCCCCTCTCCCCTTAAGTTTAGCTCACCTTAACTCAGAAAAGCAAATGTCCTTCCTATTTTCCCTTTTTTTTCCTACCCCGCCTGCCAATTTTTTGGGGGGTTGGGTGGGTGCTGCTCTAACTTCAAATTTCAAATACTTAGTTGCTGCTGTTGATTTGGTATCACTGTTATTAGGTGAGACTTTTCTGTGTGACTAATTATATTACATGGTCCAGTTGTTTGCAGATAGCACGGGCCTTTGGTGCCTCTGAGATCATTGCTGTGGATGTTCAAGACGAGAAACTGCAGAATGCCAAAATGCTTGGAGCCACTCACACTGTAAATGCGCGACATGAAGATGCTGTTGAAAAGATTAAAGTACTTAATTCCTTTCTTGAGTTTTATATCACATAGTAATTCCATATCTATTTCTAACTATGAAACAAGGGTTTATAAAAGTAAACATTAGTGCACAAACTATTTGGTTATTTGGTTGCTTCCATATTTCTAGTGGAATTGTCTAATAAAATTGCACTAAATGGCCATGGAAGCAACCAAATCAGTTTTCCTGATAGCTTTTCCATTTCTTCTTTTTATTTACTTTTTTTGTTATTTTTTGGTGTTTGCTTTTCCATTTTATTTGGTTCTAATTGATGTCTCCTTTATTATTATATTTGCTGTATTGATTCTTTATTCTCATTGCTCTAATTTTCCTTTTCCTTGCTGGAGTAGCTCTCGTATATTCTTTTCACATTAACTTTTATCTTCTGATAAGTATTTTCTTATGGAGCAACTAGGCTATTAACAGGTGCTAGAGAGTTTATTATTATTTCTTTTATGCATTAAGGACACTATTGTAATTGTATCTTCTTAATATATAAATAGGTGAGAGGTGTGGGAAACCCTAACAGGCTAACATACTTTCTTTCTTTTACAAAACGTCTCTTTCTCCTCTTCTCTTCTTCTCTTCTTCTCTTCTTCTCTGTTTCTACAAACACATCATCAATTTTAACTTGGTATCAGAGCTAAAACTTGAGCAGAAATTCATCCAAGGATTTTGTAGTATCAGAAGGTGAGAGAGAAGGGTTGATGTCAGATCTCTATGCTGACATCATGCTGACATGAGCGGTTGCTGAGATGCTCAGAAATTGTATGGGCTAGTTCGTCTCCATTATGGTAATTATGTTGATTTTTGTAGAATTTTCTGAAGAAGTTTGAATTGCCTTTCCATTTTTCGAATATTTTTGTCTTTCGGCCCAGAATTTTTCGATCTGTTTTTTTTGGGCGTTTCTGGTTGTTTTTGTTGGTTGAGATCCATTCTATATGGTGTGCCTAGACTGGAAAGGAGATTGATTGTTGATTGTTTGATGATAAATTGAGTTTGGAACAAGCTGCTGGCTAAACGGAAGTTCGACAGTCAGGTTTTGACCTTCTGAAATTGATTTATTTTTACCTTTTATTGCTTCTGGTCTGTTCTGGATATTTGGGCTCTCCAATTTTGTACTTGGCTTGCCGTTTAGACCCAATTTTTCAGTATGTTTCTGCTTGACTCCCTAGAACAGAATTGTGTTCTGTCCTCTTTAACATTTATTGATTCTATTCTTATTGCATTGGTCTGAATCCTACCCATGGCTGAAAATAAATTACAAAACCAACAGGCCTGTGGCCTAGCGGTACAAGGCTCCTACTTCCCAAAGGGAGGTTAGGAGTTCGAACCTCAGTGGAGGCAGTGTGTGTGAGTCCCAACTAGGAAAAAAAAAAAAAATTACAACCCCTCAAGGACACACGATGATATGCCTAAATTGATCACCTCGAAAATATTAAATGGTGTTAATTATTTGTCTTGGGCACATGCTGTTCAAATTTTTCTGCGTGGAAAAAGAAAGTTGAAATACTTGACTGAAAATCCTCCCTCTCACAAGAAGGAACTTGAAGATTGGGCATGTGATGATTGTGTTGTTATGGGATGGCTATGGCATAGTATGGAACCCGTTATTGCTAGTACAATTGAATTTTGTGACTCTTTTAAGTAGATTTGGGAGTCTCTTGCTGAGTCATGTTCACACCTCTCGCCTATTTGTATATTAAGAAGATAAAATTTCAGCAGTTACAATAGTGTCCTTGTATTTGGTTTCTTCCATATTTCTAATGGAATTGTCTAATAAAATTGCACTAAATGGCCATGGAAGCAACCAAATCAGTTTTGGTGATAGCTTTTCCATTTCTTCTTTTTATTTACTTTTTATTTGTTGATGTCTCCTTTATTATTATATTTTCTGTATTGATTCTTTATTCTCATTGCTCTAATATTCCTTTTCCTTGCTGAAGTAGCTCTCTTATATTCTTTTCACATTAACTTTTATTCTTCTGATAAGTATTTTCTTATGGAACAAGAAGGCTATTAACAGACAAATATTAATGTGTTTCTTCTCTTTTTTCTTATGCTCATGTTCTGGACGTGTTTCAAAACAGTGTTTCAATTTGAATTTTATTTTAAAGTTCAAACGTTTGATGAAATCTTGACTTGATTAGACATCTTTGGGAACATATGAGAATTTATATCATTGATTGGTTGTTGATATAATTGTTAATTTAATTTTGATTCACTTGTTATCATTTTTGTTAGTCGATATGATGGCCACGATTTATGGAATGACTTGCCATATTAGCAGAGACTTGATTATGCTTTAGAATATGCTTTGATTTAATTTAGATTTGATTTAATTTCCTTTCTTGTAATATGAACATTTGCTCTTTTTATCTATAAATACTAGGGTTGTGAATGAGTATAGGTATTTTTAAGCTTTACAATTTCTTTTTTACTCTTCTAGGGTTGGGTAAATTGGGATAGTTGGTCTCCAACACCTAGAAGGGCTTGGGTAATTTTTTTTTGAGTCTACAGAGAAGTTCCGGATATTGTTTAGGAGGCTGTCCGGCTATATGTAAGTGGGTAGCGCTCCTTGAAAAAGTCTGTATTTGGACTTTTCGGGAATGGTTTGAGCAGACATTGTTATTGTTTATGGTCTGAGGAGATCCTTTGATTTATTAACAGAATTTGTGGTGTTTTTGTAGTTGTTTATTGTCGTTTGACAGATAATGCAGATTTAGAGTCATCGACTGTTAATTCTCTTGGCTCAAGTTCTGTGGGTGGTGGTGCCATTTTTTCCACCAACTCATTAGAAAATCCAGGACTTCAAATCGCCATAGTGAAGTTAGATGGCTCCAACTATTTGATTTGGGCACAGTCTGCCAAGATGTTCATTCGTGGCAAAGGCAAGATTGGCTATATTACTGGTTCTGAGAAAAATCCAGCGGAGTCAGGAAGGCATAACCATAGTGGTTGGCAGATAATGCTATGGTTATGCCTTGGCTAATCAATTCAATGTAGCCAAACATAGCCGTTGGCTACATGTTTATGAAGACTGCTAAGCAGATTTGGGATTCAGTTCAATGCATTTATTCTCAGAGGCAGAATAATGCACTAATTTTCCAGTTGGGGCGAGATATCACTAGGATTTCTGAGGGTGACTTGACAATTTCAGGTTACATCGCCAAGCTTTGTCCTATTTGGGAAGAGATGTCATATTATGATTCCTTTCACTCTTGGAAGGATCCAGATGATGTAATTTTATATGTAGGGATTGCGGAGAAGAATCAAGTGTTTCAGTTTCTTGTCGGGTTGAAAGACGAGTTTGAGTATGCTCTTGTTCATTTATTAGGCTTTTCTTCATTCCCCACTCTTGATGATGCATACTCCTATGTGTTGTCAGACGAGAGTTGTCAAACTCATTCATTAGGTGTTGAAACTGTTGGTCGTTTTGCTATTGCAGTTCGTGTTCCCAACCTTTCAGGAACTGCACCATCCCAGTCAGTTCAGAGTTCTACTACTGGTCCTCATCTGGGACGACAATGTGGGCGGTGTGACCATTGCGGAAAAATTGGTCACATCAAATTTCGTTGTTATGCACTACATGGAAGCCCACTGCAACAGAAACAACAGCCTCGATCCTTTGCCCATTCTGTTACACATCCAGTCTCGTTGTCGACTCTTGACAACTTTGCCTCGTCATCTTCTTCCACAGTTACTTTACTCAAGCTGATTTGGACAAGTTCAAACAATTCTTCAATCAAATGGAGGCATCATCTCTACCAACTTCAACTTATGCCCACTTAGGTACTATTGCGTCTGCACATAGCGTATCTACATCTTCGACACCATGGATCATTGATTTTGGTGCTTCAGATAATATAACTGGTATGTCCTCATTTTTCCAATCTTATAGTATATGCTCTAGCCATCGCAAGACGTACCTTGCGATGGCTCTCCATTTTCCATTACTGGGAAGGGTCACATATCAGTTACTCCTTCATTAACTCTAACTTTGTCCGATACACTTCATGTTCCCTAGTTGACTACAAATCTTATTTCTGTTAGTAGCCTTACTAAACAATTAAATTATAGTGTAACATTCTTTCCTTCTCACCGTTTTTTTCAGGATTTGGTGTCGAAACGGGCGATTGGCAATAGACGTGAAGTGGACGGCCTATACTTGTTGGATACTCCTTTGTCACCTCAAGGTCACATATCAGTTACTCCTTCATTAACTCTAACTTTGTCCGATACACTTCATGTTCCCTAGTTGACTACAAATCTTATTTCTGTTAGTAGCCTTACTAAACAATTAAATTATAGTGTAACATTCTTTCCTTCTCACCGTTTTTTTCAGGATTTGGTGTCGAAACGGGCGATTGGCAATAGACGTGAAATGGACGGCCTATACTTGTTGCATACTCCTTTGTCACCTCAAGCACATTCAATTTCTTTTTCTAATTCTGTTTCATCTAATGAAACCCAGATTATGCGTTGGCACATGCGTTTAGGACATTTCTTTCGATTATTTAAAACATTTGTTTCCTTCTTTATTTTGTAACGCGACAGTCTCAGATTTATCCCGCGAGACGTGCCAATTATCCTGCTAGTAGTAATAAATCTGCTTTAACACGTTTTGATCTTGTTCATTCAGATGTGTGGAGTCCTTGCCGAGTTACTTCTAGTCTTGGATTTCGATATTTTGTGTTGTTCATTCATGATCATAGTCGTGTTACATGGGTTTATCTTATGAAAACCAAAAATGAGGTGCACACCATTTTTAATTTTTTTATGACAATGGTTCAGACTCTATGGTCGTACCATTAAAAAAATTAGATTTGAACAAGGTACGGACTTATTGGGAGGTACAACGGTTATGTACAAAATTTGGGATTGAGCATCAAATGTCTAATGTTAAAACTCTTTAACAGAATGACCGTTCTGAGAGAAAATCGTCACATCCTTGACTTGGCCCAAGTCAAGAGCAATCTGCATTGGCATGAATGTTCCCTATTCATTTTGAGGAGATGCAGTTCTCATAGCTATCTACATCATTAATAGGACCCTTCTCAGGTTCTTAACTTTGCAGCCCCACTCTTAATCTTACATCCCAATTCATCTATTTTTTTATTCCTCCGCGAGTCTTCAGGTGTGCGTGCTTTGTTCAACAGTTGGGACAGACTCGTATAAAGCTTGACCCCAAGGCTTTGAAGTGTGTGTTTTTGGGCTATTCTCACTCTCAAAAAGGTTATAGGTGTTAACCATCCTCTGAGTCGTCAGAGGTTTATATCTATGGATGTTTCTTTCTTTGAGCATACACCATACTATAGTGGTTCGGTTGGTTCTCAAAGTGAATGGTTTTCATTGAACACAATCGATGATCACCTTCTTTCATCTTCAAATCCTCTACCTTTACCTGTTTTGTCTTCTGTTATTCCTCCTTGTTATACTCCTCCAGCAGGGGGAGTTGTTCCTTTTCCACAGGTTTATAGTCGGAGACAATAGCTACAAGCCTACCCTATTTCTAATTTTGTTTCTGATTGTGCTCTCTCACCCACCTATCGGAGTTTTCTTGTTTCTGTTGCCTCGGTTCCTCTTCCTTTTTGTGTTGCAGATGCTTTAGCACAACCTCAATGGCATGATGTTATGATAGAAGAATTATAAGACTTGAGAAAAATCAGACTTGGGACATGGTTCCGCTTCCTATTGGACGAAAGGCTGTGGGTTGTCGTTGGATGTTTACAATTAAGCATAATCCATATAGGTCAGTTGCTCGTTACAAGGCCCGGTTGGTTGCCAAAGGTTATGCTCAGACTTATGGCATAGATTGCCAAGATGAATACCATCTGTGTATTATTTTCCGTTGCTGCGATTCGATCTTGGCCTCTATTTCTGTTAGATGTCAAGAATGCCTTTCTCAATGGTGATTTGCACGAGGAGGTGTATATGGTTCCCCTTCTGGGCTTTCGTTCTCTTGCTCATTCCAGTATGGTCTGTTGTCTTCGTCGCTCCCTGTATGGCCTCAAGCAGTCTCCTCGAGCTTGGTCTGATCGCTTTGGCACTGCCATGATCCGATTTGGTTTCCATCAGAGTGTAGCTGATCATACCTTGTTCTTGTGTCATTCAGGTGGTAAGACAGTTGCTCTCATTATGTATGTCGATGATACTACCAGAATTGCTGAGATTAAGAGCTAACTTGGCCGTCAGTTTTAGATTAAGGATCTTGGTCCCCTTTGGTACTTCTTGGGCATTGAGGTGGCTAGCTCCAAGGCTGGCATTTTCATCTCTAAACGCAAGTATGTTCTTGACTTGCTTTCTTCTTCTGGTCAGCTTAGCGCTCGATCGTGCTGATATTCCGATTGAGCAGAATCATTGGTTGGCTGATTATGAGGGGGAGTTGTTGTCGAATGTTGGTCAGCATCGACAACTTGTTGGGAAGCTCATCTCTTTATCCATGACTTGACTTGACATTGCTTATGCCGCGAGTGTCGTGAGTCAAATTCATGCATTCTCCTGTACCCCTTACCTTGATGCAGCTATTTGGATCCTTCGCTACTTAAAGGGGTGTTCGGGCCGTGGTGTTTTGTTTTCCAATCATGGTCACTTAAGTGTTAAGGCTTGGACATATGTTGATTATGGAGGATTAGTTTCAAATAGGAGGTCCACTTCGGGCTATTGTACCACTATTGGTGGCAACTTGGTTACTTGGTGCATAAGAAGCAGGATGTTGTCTCTCGATCTAGTGCAGCGGAGTATAGAGCTATGGCTCTTGGGGTATGTGAGTTGCATGGTTGAAAACCTTGATGACAAACGTGTGCCTTCCAGTGTCGCTTCCATTCTCACTTTAGTGTGACAACAAGTCTGCCATTAACATAGCAGTAAATCTCGTTCAACATGACAGAACTTAGCATATAGAGGTGGATTGTCACTTCATTCGAGAGAAGATCATTTCTGGTCAAATTTACACTCCATTTGTCACAAGCTCTCAGCAGTTTGCAGACATTCTTACAAAGGGCGTCAGGAAGATTGTGCTTGAGAATGCATTGTTCAAGTTGGGCGTTTCAGATATCCACGCACCAACTTAAGGGGGAGTGTTAGCAGATATGATAGCCACGATTTATGGAATGACTTACCATATTAGCAGAGACTTGATTATGCTATATAATATGCCATATAATATACTTTAGAATATGCTATGATTTGATTTAAATTTGATTTAATTTCCTTTCTTGTAATATGAGCATGTTCTCTTTTTATCTATAAAAACTAGAACTGTAAATGAGTGATTCATCTCATTCAAGCCTTTACACAATTTTCTCCGTCTTCTTCTTTTTATATTTTTTCTACTTGCTCTTCTGAGGTGGGAGTCCCTAACGGAACTGGGGTTTGGAAATTCATCCGGAAGGGGTGGGATGAATTTTGTAAACACATCAGATTTCATGGTAGGGATGTCAGGGTATCCGTTTTTGGGAGGTCACTTGGTGCGGTGGTTGTCCTTTTGCCTTCACTTTCCCTAGACTTTTCCGAATTGCTTTAGATAGACATGCCTTGGTGATCGACTGCTATTGTCTCAACAGTTGGAGAATGGTTTGGGATGTTAATTTCCCGAGGCATTTTCAAGATTGGGTGATTGAGGGTGCCATTGGTTTTTTTGGAGCTGCTTTATCGCTTAGAGATTGTGGGGGAGGTTACGACCTTGTGTGTGGATTCCTTCTTCTCTGGGTCATTTTGATGTTCGGTCATTTTACAGAATTCTTTCGGATGCTCGGGGCACTACCTTCCCATGGAGGGCCATTTGGCGTTCAAAAGCCCCTCTCAAAGTGGCTTTCTTTGCATGGACGTCCATCTTGGGGAAGATCTTAACCCAAGATAACCTCAAGGGGAGGAAACAGATTGTGGTCATTTGGTGTTGCATGTGTAAGAATGACGAGTAAACGGTTGATCACCTCCTTTTGCATTGTCTCGTGGCTCGGAATTGCAGGATTTTGTTGTTGGGTTTGTTTGGGGTTCAGTGGGTTACGCTCAGGTCCTCGAGAGACTTGGTTGATGCTTGGAGAGGTTGTATGGTGGGGGCCCAAGTTGGTGATTTCTGGAGGGTTAGACTTTATGCGTCTGGTGGTGTTTATGGCTTGAAAGAAATAGGAGATCCTTTGAAGGAAAGGAGAATCCTATTGGGATGTTGAAGTTTTTCATTACTAGTACTCTTTCTTGTTGGGTTCTAGAGAGAAATTGTAAATCCTTGGAGGAACTTGTTGATTTTTGGGACTCTTCGAGTGTATAGAGGCCCTATTTGGCCTTGTGTAACTTTTGAGGAATGTGTTTCTCGCGTTTGAACACTTTTTATACAATCTTTCCTTATCGAAAAAAAAAAAAAAATCAATACCAAGCTGTCTATAAGTTTGTTATTGCAAAACTTTGGCTGAACCGCAAGGAGGGACCCAGAGGTCATCATGGTACTGGTACAGAAGCTTCTGTTTCTGTTAGAAATCTGTGTTGGATACTTTGGGGATGAATATTGAGGATCTTAATGCTATCCGTTTCTGGTTTACTTTTCATGTGGACAATTAAGATTCAGCTAGATGATTCTGTATGTTTATTTTTTTATTATTTTATTTTATATATATATATAAAATAAAAAAATAAAAAATAAACATACAGAATATATATATATATATATATATATAAAATAATAATAAACATACAGAATCATCTAGCTGAATCTTATTTTCTATATAAAAATAAAAAATAAAAATAAACATACAGAATCATCTAGCTGAATCTTAATTGTCCACATGAAAAGTAAACCAGAAACGTATATATATATTTTGTTCAATATCAATTCTTTTAGATTGGATCCATTTTAGTCTTTGCACTTCGTAAAGTGAAGGTATGCCTTAAGTAATTGTCATGTACTTTATTTGTTTATATTATACATATTTCTGTAGTCAAGGAAAGCATGCATTAAATGCTTGATACCCAAATGCTGTCTCTAATTTGTTCTATATGGTTTGTAATATGACTCTATAATTGTTTAAAATGTTAGTTGTTTGATAAAACAGAAGAGTTGTTTGTATATATTTATGTGTGTGCATCTATATTGGGACTTATAATTTGTTGATACTTGTCCAGGGTTTTACATCAGAAGTAAATTGCTAACATTATAGTACTCAATTGTATATCTGCCCAATGAAAAGACATTGATTTTAAAGCTATTTATGTCTGTTTAGTTCAGAACAAAATGTTTTCAGGGATATCGCTAATTAAGAGGTCTGGTTGGACAGGAAATAACTGGAGGAATGGGAGTGGACATTGCTGTGGAAGCCCTGGGAAAACCTGAGACATTTTTGCAGTGCACACAAAGTGTAAGAGATGGGGGAAAAGCTGTAATGATTGGCCTTGCAGACTCCAGTGCTAAAGGGGAGATAGATATAAATCGTCTGGTTCGTAGACAGGTGTGTATGCTGTGTTTGGCAATGAAAATTTTACGTTTTTTTTATTTGCATTTGTTCAGTTGTTTTCACATGCTAATTGAGATAACAACTGTTTTTGAAAACAGTAGCTAATCTTTTATTATAGTATGCCTATTTTCTTAATTTAGTTTTCTCAAGTATGCTGCAGTCTGAAAAAAGTGTGGCTAGATTAGAAAAAGTTCAAGAATAGAGTGCTAATAAATAGACACACAGAGGAAGAGAAGACAGTATTACGGTTGGTTGACCACCCAAAGTACATTTTTATTAGTCCAACGAACAAGATTTTGGAAAGTGATATCCAGAATGATAAACGAATAGAGTAACTACTCAGGGAGTAGTAATGAAAGACCTACAGTATGGCAATTTTTATTTATCCAAATCCTTGTATTTTGTAGCATTCCTATCCTAACTTGGAGATTTCCATTTGTATCTGTTTATCTTCCAAGTTGCAACTTAATGTTATTGACTTTATTCCTAGTTTTTTTATTTTTTATAATCATCTATTTCTCTCTCTCAAATTAAATATTTTGTTCAAATTAGTTAAAGCCATCTACGAGTTGTTGACTTCAAGATATAATCAAATAAAGAGTAAGTGAAGAAGAAGAAGAAGAAGAAGAAGAAGAGAAGAAAGCGGATGAGAGAAAAAGAGAGAGAGATGGAGAAAGAGAGAGAATGAAAGAATACTTTCATCCTTCCACCATATTCTATTTATAATAACAAGTTTCAGAAATTATACAAAAGCCCCAACATTATATAAGTAATAACAAACAAGCCCCTGACAACCCTCCCCCTCAAACTGGTGCAAAGATATCTATCATGCCATGCTTGACTAACATATTTTGCAAGCAAGTCTTGCTCACACCCTTAATCAAAACATCAGCAACCTGATCATGTGTGTAGATGTATGGAGTACAACTCAGCCCAAGACGAAGCTTTTCCTTGATGAAGTGTTGATCGACTTCAATGGGCTTTGTCTTGTTATGTTGAACTAGATTGTGAGCAATGCTAATGGCAGCCTTGTTATCACAATACAACTTTATTGACTCGCAAACAGGATAACCCAACTCACCCAACCTCGTACGTAGCCATAACAACTCACAAACTCCATGTGCCATGGATCTGAACTCAGCCTCTGCACTAGATCTAGTCTAGTTACTACAGGCTGTTTCTTGGTTTGCTACGAAACAAGATTACCTCAAACAAATGTGCAATATCCTGAAGTAGATCGTCGATCTGTCATAGATGCTGCCCAATCAACATCAGTATAGGCTTTAACACGCAAGTGGCCATGACTGCCAACCAGTTTCCCCTTACCAGGTGAACCCTTGAGGTAGCGAAGAATATGATGAGCTGCCTCAAGGTGAGGCGTACGTGGAGCATGCATAAACTGACTAATCACACTAACAACGTAGGCAATATTTGGGCGCGTGAGAGATAAGTAAATCAGTCTCCCAACCAATCGCTGAAATCTTCCCACATCATTTAATGGGTCTCCATCTACATCATTAAGCCTATGGTTCTACTCAATGGGAATATCAATAGGTCTAGTTCCAAGTCTGCCTGTTTCAGCCAACAAATCTAACACATACTTTTGTTGAGAAATGAACACCCCTTTCTTCGATCTGCACATCTCGATGCCAAGAAATTATCTCAATGCTCCGAGGTCTTTAACCTCGAACTCTGTCCCCAAGAATGACTTCATTCGACGAATCTCTTCTGGGTCATTTTCAGTGATAACAATATCATCAACATATACAATAAGGGCAGTGGTGCAACCCTAGTGCTTCTTGATGAAGAGCGTATGATCTGCCTAACTCTGTGTGTACCCAACTCTTTTCACAGCAGTGCTGAACCTCTCAAACCAAGCATGTGGCGACTGCTTTAACCCATACAAGGCTTTATTTAGCTTGCACACTAAATTATGACCATTGGCAAGCTTAACTTTACATCCAGCTGATGTAAGGGCCAATTCAAATTAGCTGCCAAAGAAGAACGCGTATAGAGTTCATCTTGGCAACTGGAGCAAATGTTTCCAGATAATCAATTCCATAGGTCTGAGTGAATCTCTTTGCAATTAACCGAGCTTTATATCTCTCAATCGTTCAGTCTAAATGATACTTTATTGTGTAGACTCATTTGCAGCTTACTGGTATCTTACCCCTAGGTAATTGAACAATATCCCAAGTACCATTCTTCTCAAGGGCCTTCATTTCTTCTAGCATAGCTTTCTTCTGTGGAGTTTGACTGAGAGCATCTGAAACACTAGAAGGAACATATACAGAGGAGATACACGAAGTGAAAGCACAATATGTTGGAGATAAGGCATCATAGGATACAAACTGAGATATGCGATGTTTTGTACAACTACGAACCCCTTACGATAGGTAATAGTGACATCAAAATCAATAGGAATGCTATTGGGAAAAGAATCAGGAGTATCAATGTCAACTAAGGAATCACCTGGATCGAGGGAGACATCTTGATCCTGGGGTGAGTCAATAACTTGTTTTTCCTCCTAGTATAGACAGTTGGCTGCTTTCCCTACTGCAAATCATTTGTGTTAGGAGGACTAGACATAGGCACCTCAGTAAGAAGTTCCCCCCGAATGGGAACCTCCCCTTGAATGGGAACAGGCAAAGGAAGGGGGCATTCCCTCTGAATGGACAACGGTTTCTCTACCCGTACAGTAGTCTCCCCCTTGTAGAGAATCCTGAGCAGTGGGAAAAAAGGAACAGACTTAAAGAATGTAACATCCATGGAGACAAAGCGATGACGAGTGGTAGGGTTATACCACCGATACCCTTTCTGAGTGGCGGAGTATCCAAGAAAGACACATCGGATTGCCATAGGGTTCATTTTGTCCTTGTGATGATGAATGTGAACATAACAAACACAACCAAACACTTTCGGATGGACAGTAAACAAGGCAATGTCTTGGTGTACGACAGAGAAGGGGGATTGATCGCCAAGAACCTTAGAAGGCATGCGATCGATAAGGTATGCAGTTGTTAAGGTTGCATTAGCCCAATAACTTTTAGGCACTCCTATCCCCATTAGAAGAGATTGGGTTACCTCCGTAATATAACGGTGTTTTCTTTTAGCTACAGCGTTATGTTGTGGTGTATCGACACAAGAGGTTTGATGGACAATCCCGTTATCAGCAAAAAAGGTGGCAAGACCACCATACATAAACTCTCCTCCATTATCAGATCGAAGGATTTTGAGGGGACAACCAAACTGAGTACATACCATCCTATGAAAGTTTTTAAAAATAGAATGAACTTCATCTTTGGTTTTCATAAGATAAAGCCAAGTATATTGACTAAAGTCATCAACAAACACAACAAAGTAACGAAAACCATGTAACGAAGTAGTAGATTCAGGACTCCACACATCAGAATGAACAAGCTGCAAAGGAGCTGTACTTTTATTAATATTAGTAGGATAAGAAACACGACATTGTTTGGCAAGAACGCATATTTCACAATTTAACTCAAAAGATTCAACAGAAGCAAACTGGGGAATCATATGCTTCAAAACAGGAAGAGGTAAATGACCTAGTCTATTATACCATCACTTTAACAGATCTTTATTGACATTAGCATTCCTAACGCTAGATTGATTTGCAACATAATAAGAAGTTGGCCTCGCGATCAACAAATACAAGCCATTGTCCTCACGTCCACTTCCAATCGTCTTCCCTGTGTCCAAGTCCTGAAACACACAGTGAGATGGAAAAAAGGTTACTCTACAATTCAAGCCTTTTGTAATGTGACTGGCAGAAAGGAGATTATTGGTAAACTTTGCGACATGAAGAACAGATGATAAGGTAAGATTAGGGGAGGTAGAAATAGTGCCCTTCCCCGCAATGGAGGTGAAGGTGCCATCAGCCACTTTAACCTTATCCTTACCAAAACATAAACTGTACGAAGAAAAATCAGATGCCATACTAGTTATGTGATCAACGGCTCCTGAATCAATGATCCAGGGTGGCCCACCAGATAATGTGAAAACTTGATGTGCCAAATGAAAGGTACCTGTCTGAGCGAAGTTAGAGGTGGAAATGGAGGAATGTTGTGTTAGTAAATGTCGGAGAGCATTAAGTTCAGCACCGGACAAAGAACTCGGTGGCCCTGAGGAGGCATGACCAGTAGAAGCAGTCTCACGCTTTGCAGTATGTGTCGTAGATAATCCCCTAAATGGACCAGGCCTTGGCCTAGCATTCGCATGAGCAGGATCTGGAGTAGGGTGTAGATTCCAACATGATTCCCTAGTGTGGCGCATAGGCCCACAATGATCACACCTCAACTTGCTTTTGTCATCCTGCTTCCCTCCTTTTGGAGGATTGGGCTTGTTCCATTGTTGTGTGGCAAGAGGAGACCTCTCAGACAACGGTACTTCTGGCTCAGGCGTAATGTATACGGGTGCAGAGATAGCCTTCATTCTATTCTCCTCAGCCTGGATATATGAAAACACATCTCTAACAGAATTAGGGGTTAGAAACCTGCCTAACACTTCTACCCTGGCATGCTCGTATCTCGAATGCAGACCACCCAAGAACTCATATATTCTATTCCTTTCTACCATAGTATGAAATGCTTTAATATCAGCTGCACACATAGGTATGTAGTCTTGGTAGTGATTTAACTCTTCCCATTTACCATGTAGAGTGTGGTAATATGTTGCTTGAATCTTGAAATCTGTTGTTGAAGTTCATATAGTTTTGCAAAATTACCAACCGAGGAATACGTCTCTTCCACAGTCGTCCATAGTTCTTTAGCTGTTTTCACAGACGGAAACCATTTGCTGATCTGTGGCTGCATTGACTGCAACAACCACGTCATAACTAATGCATTATTTGAACTCCACCCTTTGAATTTAGGATCGCTCTTGGAGGGATACGTGACAGTCCCTTCGATATGGTCGATCATCCTACGACCAGTGATATGCATATGAGCAGATTGAGCCCACTCCATATAGTT